TTCTATTGAGCTCAATTTTTCCAAATTATTAGAAAGCTTCTCAATGGAAGTTTCTAATTTATCCAGTAGTAAATTCACTCCAATGACGACTAAGTTTAAGGTAGGGTATTTCTCACCACTGAATAAATCTGTCAAGACTTTAAAATGACGCAAATATTTCGTGAGTTTTTTAAAAATATTCCATTCATATTCTGTAATCTTTAATTTTTTCACTTTCTGATTATGTTCACATAGTAAATTTATTGCCGGCTGCATTCTAATTGCTAGCATAATCATATCGTACGTAGAGTTCCATCTTGTTTTGACGTCGATGTTTGGAGACAGCATTTGAATATTGCAGGTTTGGCAGCAGGTTTTTAATTTGTTTTGCCATTGTTCGGAGTTTTTTAAAATTTTGAACAAGCTTCTCAATTTTTTTTTAGGATATGTGTATGTCGTCGATTCTGATTCTTCGTCTTCTTCCATGTCTCCTCTTTCAGTTGATTCACTTTCTTCTTCACTTTGCTCGCTTTCTTCATTATGTGATTCTTTATCATCGATATTAAAAACATTCAACATATCCTGGACGGAAAGATTTAAAATATGCGCTAGGCACCGGAAATGATGACTTTCAGAATCGAAATCTTTTATTAGTTTGCTTAATTCACTCATGCATGTCGTGTTGGCAGCAGCGTTGTCCATCGTTATTCCCATAACTTTTTCAATAATTTTATTTTCTTCGAGCATTTTAAAAAAACAAGCAGCTATATCTTTACCCTTATGTTGGCCGTGTGAAGGGCAAAAATCTATCACGAGAGATTGAAGGACCCAATTATCGTCAACAAAATGAGCAGTGATTCCAAAATATCTTCTGTTGGCCAAAGATGTCCAACCATCTATTGTAAACGATATTTTCGACGTATTTTGTTGTAAAATTTTCATAACAATTTCTTGTTTCTCGTAAAATTTATTTTCAATCAAACTTTTCAATTGGTTTCGTTGCGGAACATGGACTATTGGATTTATATATTGAAAGAAGTCTTGAGAAACCTCGTCGTCAAAGAAAGCAAAGGGTAAATATTTTGTGACTACAAAATTTACTAATTTTTCAAGGAATGTGTCCTGGTCAAATTTCTGAAACAAAATTAATCAATACTTTTACTTTCTTTTGACTTTTATTTTATTATTTTTTTTTAAATTTCTGAAACAAAATTAATCAAAACTTTTACTTTTTTTTAACTTATATTTTTGATTAATATTATAATTAAACTTTATAAAAGGGTATACAAATTTAAAGATGGTAAATATTAAACAGTATTAAATTCGTTACGTTATTTTTAAACAAAATTATCTTAAAGAAAAAATGAATGGTTTTTTATTGAAAACACAGGTCAACAAAAAAAGACTTACTTTTTTCTTATGAGATAGCGGAATGGTTTCCTATGTATTTTTGGACGCTGAACACGATCTCGACTTCCAAAATTGCCCATCACGTCAGGATTTTGAGAAAAGTGGGGGTAAAGACCCCAAAAACGCTTTTTTGAGGAATTTCAACATTTATTTTCTCTTTAACCTGACGTGCTAGAGACTTCCACAAGGTCTTAAATTAAAGCTTATAATGTGCACTAAAAGACCAATATCCATAAAATAAAAAAAATAAAAATTTTTTTCAAAAAATGGGATTGAAGACACCAAAAATTTGTGTTTTTGGATTGCTTTAATAGACTTTTTGCAATTGCTTGGATTCGCATGAAAATGGTTACTTGGGGCTTTTGGGGTCACTGATTACGAATCCGATATTAGTTTGCAAAAATTAAAAATGGCGGATTCGTAATCAGCGACCCAAAAAACCCTGAAATAACAATTTTCAAGCGAATCCAAGCAATTCTTAATTTTTACATCTGCCATCTTGGTTTCGCCGTTTTAAATTTTTGCAAACAAATATTGGATTCGTAATCAGCGACCCCAAAAACCCCAAGTACCCATTTTCAAGCGAATCCAAGCGATTGCAAGAAGTCTATTAAAGCAATCCAAAAACACAAATTTTTGGTGTCTTCAACCCCATTTTTAAAAAAAAATTTAATTTTTTTTTATTTTATGGATATTGGTCTTGTAGTGCACATTACAAGCTTTAATTTAAGACCTTGTGGAAGTCTCTAGCACGTCAGGTTAAAGAGAAAAGAAATGTTGAAAATCCTCAAAAAAGCGTTTTTGGGGTCTTTACCCCCACTTTTCTCAAAATCCTGACGTGATGATCAAATTTGGAAGTCGGGATCGTGTTCAGCGTCCAAAAATACATAGGAAACCATTCCGCTATCTCATAAAAAAAGTAAGTCTTTTTTTGTTGACCTGTGAAATTATAGAAAAAATTGTTAAGTTAAATTAAATGCTTTATCCAGATTCTGATTTTTATTCCTCGGTTTTTCAGAAAATTAATTTTTAATCAGCATAATTTTAAATATTTAATTACGTTTTTTGTTTTCGAAAACTCATCTTCTTTGGAGTTTTATTTTTAAATTCTAAACACTTAAATTTTAAGTTTATTTTGAATTGAATTAATTAAAAGAAAATTAGAATTAATTAAATGAAAATTAATATTTGAAATTCAAAAATTTAATATTAAATTTGAAATAATTCAAAAACAAATAAAATTTTTGTAAATATCTACAACATTACAAATGTTCAAGTGAACGTTGATATTTTTATTACTATATTTAATTTTTAGAATTCAGTGAGCAATTAATTTTCTTTAAAAATGACACTGAAAAAAATTAATTCAACAGATTAACCGATTAGTGGTCTATAATAATCAAAGAATTATTTATTTGAATCAAACAAAAATGACATACTTGAATCAAATAAATATTTTCTTGAACCAGATAAATTTTTCTTTAAACAAGATAATTTTTATTCAGTAATTCAAATAAAAATTTTAGAATCATAAGGTTCCAAAAGTTTAAACGAACAAAATATTTTTTTTTAATAAAAATTTGTATTGCAATAATTTTGCAGTATCAAAATTGTTATTAAACTATTTACTCGTGTTTGTTTTTAAACATCAGTATTTTTTATATCAAAATTTCGCTTTGTCGCATTTTTTCCCTTATATTATAAAATACTTTCATAAAATTTTTACGTTTGATTTTGGAGCAAAATATATATCTTTAAATTCTTTTTCATGGTATCTCTGAAGATGGCGTTGAAGTCCTGAAGTGTCCCCATCAGTCATTTTCAAAACTTTATTTATCGACGGCTCATTTGATTCACACACTTTACATCGTGCTTGTTTTAATTCGTTTTCGAAAAATATTTCAAAATACTTGGATAGAGGCGGTGCATGAAGTTTTCTTCGTTTGGAGGTTACTTGCTTTTCTGTAACCTTCTGTGGTACAGTACTTGACCTATGAAATATTTTTGCCTTTTTATATGATATATTAAATCATATATAAATTTATTTTAATAATATAAAAATACATTACAATATAAATTATTACAATTTAAATATAATTTATAAGACAATTATTACAAAATTAAAAATAAAAAAAATTGTTATAAGTAAAAAATAATTTTATAAAACAATTATAAATACAAATAAAAATAATTTTCATGAAACAAAATATTTACGAAGGTAAAATTTCGCAGTCATTTTGAGGTTCATTGTGATTTTCTGAGTCTTCATTCGAAGTCAAATCTTCACGTCCTTCATTACAATTTCTTTTTCTCGACATTTTACTTCTATTGCAGTTAATTGATTTGTTTGGATTTGCTTGACATTCAAAATAGAATATCCAACCGAGAATAACCAATTTGAATACAGCCTCGTAGAGACAAGCACAAACAAATGACACTATACATTTTTTTGTGAATCTATTCTCGTTAATCGAGAATAATAATAATACAGAACGAGAATTTCTCGCTCGGAATGCGACTCTACATTTTGTATTTTTCTTGTCCTTTTGAATTCAAATCTATTATTAAATATTTATATTTTAATACTATTTCTGTCAGCTGATGATAAAATCAAATTCCTAATTTAAATAAACTAATTACTTATTGCTGAAGCTAAATTAAATATTAGCTCTAAAGGTCCTCAAACAATGCTATTCATATTTATTGCTCTTTTTAAAATTTTCAGATATTTTTAAAATAATTTAAAACATTTTATAATTATAAATATCTAAATGTGGACCCTTAGAATTTAAATCCCATCATGCGGCATTTGTCATTAAAAGTCGCCTTTAATTTTAATATTTCTATACCGATATTTAAGGTACCCAAAGTATACTTATTAGATTTTGTAGTTTTCTTTTCCTTTTGAATTCTAATCTATTATTCAATACTCATATGTTAATACTATTTCTCTCAGCTGATGATAAAATCAAATTCCTGATTGAAATATACTAATTACTTATTGATGAAGCTAAATTATAAATTAGCTCTAAAGGTCCTCAAACAATGCTATTCATATTTATTGCTCTTTTTAAAATTTTCAGATATTTTTAATATAATTTAAAACATTTTATATTTATAAATATCAAAATGTGGACCCTTAGAATTTAAATCCCATCATGCGAAATTTGTTATCATGTCACCTTTATTTTTAATGTCTTTATACCGATATTTGAAGTACCCAAAGTATTCATACTACATTTTGTATTTTTCTTTTCCTTTTGAATTTAAATCTATTATTAAATATTCATATTTTTATACAATTTCTGTCAGTTGATGGTAAAATCAAATTCCTGATTTAAATAAAATAATTACTTATTGCTAAAGATAAATAAAAAATTTGCTCTAAATGTCCTTAAACAATGCTATTCATATTCATTGCGCTTTTTAAAATTTTCAGATATTTTTAAAATAATTTAAAACATTTTATAATTATAAATATCTAAATGTGGACCCTTAGAATTTAAATTCCATCATGCGGCATTTGTCATCAAAAGTCACCTTTAATTTTAATATTTCTATACCGATATTTAAGGTACCCAAAGTATACTTATTACATTTTGTAGTTTTGAAGCGATACAATCTCATGAGAGATTGACTCCTGGAAAATGTTACCGGTCCGACTTCAAAGTATTTCCAAAATTTAATTATTTTCGTGTTCTCAATATTCGGCTAAGAGTGGGGCTTGGCGGGTTGAATCGCGGGGTCGATGAAAAGTGCGATTGATTAATTTATTAATTGACTTTCGCAATTCATCGACACGGGATCAACAGCGGCTACGCTCTCACGTGCCGGCCGAGGACACGGAAGGTAGTTTTTTTTTAAATTCAAATTTATTTAAAAATTCAGTTTATTATTTTTTGTTTTGTAAAATATGTGTTCCTTTTTGTGTTAAATATAAAGTGTGGCCGTTAATGACCATTGGATACGGATTTAATAAAATGAAGATATTTATTTATAATATTGGACGAATATGGTGACTTGGAAGTCGGAACCGGTCGGGAAACCAAAATCTTCCTCAACAGAACGAGTATTCTTTGCCAACTGTTGGGTGACTCGTAAGTGCACGACCGTAATTAATAAAGTGGCCCTGGAGATTTCAGGTGCACAAATTTATAAATTTTGATAATTAAAATTAAATTATTATTTAAAAATGTCTATGTCTGATGGTATAAAAGAAAGAGAGTGATTTTAGTCGTGTGATGAATTGCGAATTATTCTTTTTAATTATTTTGTTTATTAATTTATTATTTTGATTGATTTCTTTTTAAATATTGTTATTTGGATGTGCGTATGTTTGTGTGTCTATTTGTCATTTTATTTTCTATACTTGTATAAATCCCTGACGTCAGGCCTATTTGAATTAAACTTTTGACGGAAATATACATTTTATTTCTTTTTGTAAATTATTTGTGTGTTTATTAATCGAGTATTTTGTATTTTGTGCAATTTCATTGTTTTATTTTATTATTTTAAATTCTTTGTTTTATAATTTTTATTGTTTTTGTATTTTGTATTGTCGCGGTTTTTATTTATTTTCATGAAAAAAGAAAATCGTTACATTTTGGCGCCCGAACAGGGACCAGACGCGTGCCCAACTTTTTTATTGTATTCTATAAATTTGAAAAATTTTATTGTTTATTTGAACGTTTAGAAAATATTTGAAAACTTATAAATTTTGTATAATGATTATTTTCTGTAATTATATAACGGTAAAATGAATGTATGATTTTTGTGTATATGAATGAGCAATTTGTATTATTTTCGATTGAAACAATAGCGCTGACAAAGACAGAAGTAAAACAAAGAGAAGGTGACAAATGTAATTAGCAAATTTTATTTTTGATTTCTGAACTTAAATTATTTTGACAATTTTGAAAATGAATGTGAACAACGAAATATTTATTGGAATGATTTTGCGAAAATTAAATAAAAATAATGATTGTTGTCGAGATTGTGCCAATCGAGTATTCGAAACTCTCAATGATGCATTTAAAACTTTTAATTTTAATTTTGAAAAATTTGATTTAGGAGAATTTGAAAATCCGCATTATTTTCTTGAACGTATTGATAAATTCTTTGTTTTGAATAGAATTTCTATAGATGAGCAGTTAACTATTTTGAAATATTTATTGCACGGCAAGGTGAAAACTTGGTTTCACATACAACAATCTCCGTTTATTGATATAAACGACTTTAAAATTAAATTTTTAAATTATTTCTTTTCAATTCCGATTCAAGTTAACTTTAAATTAAAATGGTATTCACGACGTTTCATTCCCAAAAGGGGAAATTTGCAGTCTTATTTTATGAATCAGATCTATGAAGCACAATATTTGTTTTCGGAAATGGATATTGGTGAAATTTTCTATAGAATAATTCAGCAGATGCCTAATCGCGTAAAGGATGCATTGGTAACTGTTGATTATTTAAATTTTGATAAAATTTTACAGTCTTTGGTAAATTTAGATTTGATTTATCAAGATAAACAAAATGCTCGAAACAATGAATGCAAAGATTTTTTAAATTATGCACCTCCTTTGATGCCTTTGTCATGCATGGATTTTGGGAAATTGGAGCAATCAACTAAAAATTTGAATATTAATGATAATGATGGTAGTAGTCAAGAAAGTTTAAGGGGGATCGATAAAAATGCTGTTTATAGGGGGATTGAATTTACAAATTTTGATTCGACAATCAGTCTCACTGAGCATGTTTGTGAAAAAGACTTTGTAAATAACACAAAATTATATAATATTGATGATTTTGATTTTCAAATGAATATTAATTCTTGTAATAATTCGATGAACGATAGTGGAATTGATTTAGAGATCGAAGAATCTCAAATTAATCAAAGTCAGGAAAATTCTAGGGATGAAGTTCGGGGTCAGACGACAGATGATCTGAATTCCACTTCGGAAGAATATTCTCCTGAAAGAAAGAATATAATAAACGATAAATTTTGTGATTTTTATAATGAAAAATTTTGTACTGAGAAATTGTTTGATTATTTTTGTTTGTGTAAAAAAATGTTGTTTGACATGAATTCAGCCTCGAGTTTAACAGCTGATAAAGATTTTAAATTTCGATTGATTGCTTCAAGAGATTTAGAACCTGACAAGGATGTTAAATGAGAGTGAAGGGTGTTGTTTCTTATGAATGTATTTTTGTATAATTAAATTTTTATGATTTTATTTGTGGATTTAAATTTAATATAATTATGGTAATTATATTACCTTAAAAAAAAAATCGTGCTCTAATCTGAAAGTTGCAACAAATTATGGTTCAGAGTTATATTTTGACAATTAATTTTGTATATGGTTCAGGCAGGTTCCATTGCAAGATTGTTCGAGAAATATACACTGCCATTTGTGCAAGTAAGAAATTATCAGTTCTGCCAGCTGTCATTTCGTTTTGGAGTTAGTAGTATCGATACATTTATTGTTATGAATATTTACTTTTGAATTTGATTTTTAATATGTTTAAAAAAAAATGATGAATGATTTGTGTTTATTTTTTATTTTTGTGAATTTTTATTATGTTTAATATTTACCATCTTATATTTAAGGATTTATGTTTGTTTATAGTTGACATGAGTATTCGATTGGTATATCTATATAAAAAAGGGAACAGAAAATGTTGAAATTTATTTATATTTATTAAAATGAACCTCATGATGAATTTGATATTATGTAATTCCGAATTATTTTGTAATTGTCATGAGATTTTTGTGTAATTTTTATGTGTGTGAGTTAATGATTTAATTGTTTTACTTGATTAATTAAAAAAGAATCAAGTAAAAGGGGGATAATGAAGCGATACAATCTCATGAGAGATTGACTCCTGGAAAATGTTACCGGTCCGACTTCAAAGTATTTCCAAAATTTAATTATTTTCGTGTTCTCAATATTCGGCTAAGAGTGGGGCTTGGCGGGTTGAATCGCGGGGTCGATGAAAAGTGCGATTGATTAATTTATTAATTGACTTTCGCAATTCATCGACACGGGATCAACAGCGGCTACGCTCTCACGTGCCGGCCGAGGACACGGAAGGTAGTTTTTTTTTTAAATTCAAATTTATTTAAAAATTCAGTTTATTATTTTTTGTTTTGTAAAATATGTGTTCCTTTTTGTGTTAAATATAAAGTGTGGCCGTTAATGACCATTGGATACGGATTTAATAAAATGAAGATATTTATTTATAATATTGGACGAATATGGTGACTTGGAAGTCGGAACCGGTCGGGAAACCAAAATCTTCCTCAACAGAACGAGTATTCTTTGCCAACTGTTGGGTGACTCGTAAGTGCACGACCGTAATTAATAAAGTGGCCCTGGAGATTTCAGGTGCACAAATTTATAAATTTTGATAATTAAAATTAAATTATTATTTAAAAATGTCTATGTCTGATGGTATAAAAGAAAGAGAGTGATTTTAGTCGTGTGATGAATTGCGAATTATTCTTTTTAATTATTTTGTTTATTAATTTATTATTTTGATTGATTTCTTTTTAAATATTGTTATTTGGATGTGCGTATGTTTGTGTGTCTATTTGTCATTTTATTTTCTATACTTGTATAAATCCCTGACGTCAGGCCTATTTGAATTAAACTTTTGACGGAAATATACATTTTATTTCTTTTTGTAAATTATTTGTGTGTTTATTAATCGAGTATTTTGTATTTTGTGCAATTTCATTGTTTTATTTTATTATTTTAAATTCTTTGTTTTATAATTTTTATTGTTTTTGTATTTTGTATTGTCGCGGTTTTTATTTATTTTCATGAAAAAAGAAAATCGTTACAGTTTTCTTTTACTTTTTAATTCAAATCTATTATTAAATACTCATATTTTAATAAGTACTATTTCTGTCAGCTGATGATAAAATCAAATTCCTGATTTAAATATACTAATTACTTATTGATGAAGCTAAATTAAAAATTAGCTCTAAAGGTCCTCAAACAATGCTATTCATATTTATTGCTCTTTTTAAAATTTTCAGATATTTTTAAAATAATTTAAAACATTTTATAATTTTAAATATATCAATGAGTCCCCTTTGAATTTAAATCCCATCATGCGGCATTTGTTATCAAAAGTCACCTTTAATTTTAATATTTCTATACCGATATTTAAGGTACCCAAAGTATACTTATTACATTTTGTATTTTTCTTTTACTTTTTAATTCAAATCTATTATTAAATACTCATTTTTTAGTACAATTTCCGTCAGCTGATGATAAAATCAAATTCCTGATTTAAATGTACTAAATACTTATTGCTGAAGCTAAATTAAAAATTAGCTCTAAAGGTCCTCAAACAATGCTATTCATATTTATTGCTCTTTTTAAAATTTTCAGATATTTTTAGAATAATTTAAAACATTTTATAACTATAAATTTCCAAATAAGGACCCTTAGAATTTTAATCCCATCATGCGGCATTTTTTTTATCAAAAGTCACCTTTATTTTTAATATTTCTATACCGATATTTAAGGTACCCAAAGTATACTTACTACATTTTGTATTTTTCTTTTCCTTTTGAATTCAAAGCTTTTATTCAATAATCATTTGTTAATACTATTTCTGTCAGCTGATGATAAAATTAAATTCCTGATTTAAATATACTAATTACTTATTGCTAAAGCTAAATTAAAAATTAGCTCTAAAGGTCCTCAAACAATGCTATTAATATTTATTGCTCTTTTTAAAATTTTCAGATATTTTTAGAATAATTTAAAACATTTTATAACTATAAATTTCCAAATGAGCACCCTTAGAATTTTAATCCCATCATGCGGCATTTTTTTATCAAAAGTCACCTTTATTTTTAATATTTCTATACCGATATTTAAGGTACCCAAAGTATACTTACTACATTTTGTATTTTTATTTTCCTTTTGAATTCAAAGCTTTTATTCAATAATCATTTGTTAATACTATTTCTGTCAGCTGATGATAAAATTAAAATCCTGATTTAAATATACTAATTACTTATTGCTGAAGCTAAATTAAAAATTAGCTCTAAAGGTCCTCAAACAATGCTATTCATATTAATTGCTCTTTTTAAAATTTTCAGATATTTTTAATATAATTTAAAACATTTTATATATATATATAATTTAAAGAGAAACGAAAGGTCTGCTCGAGTACCTGGCCTATTGTTTGAAGGGTTTCTTTCAACCAGTAGGCAGTCTATTGAGTGAGCAGAGAGAGAAAGAGGGAGTTGCATTGGTAGTCTATTTTATACTTGAGTTTATATACACTGTAAAAAATTTAGGAAGTTAACGGACTTGGGAGTTTGGAGTGAAATTTTTCAAGTTAAAAATCAACTCCAAAAGATAGTTAATTTCTAACTCCCTTTATTCAACACCCGCGCGAGTTATTTTTTCATTAGGGAGTTAACATTTGGGTGTGAAGTTTTAACTCTCTTTATTTAACTCCCCTGGCATTAACTCCTCAACGGGTGCGACTTTTATAGAATCCCCTGGGGAATTAAAATTTAACTCTCTTTTTTTACAGTGTAGTTACAGTTTATTAACAGATTTTTGCAGTATATAATACAGAAAAATAAAAGTGCAATGTGAAGAACACTTTTTTTTCTTTTTTCAAAATTAAAAAAAAATAAGACGAAAAAAATTTTTGTGATTAAAAATAAGGATAAGGAGGTAAGTTTTTAAAAATTCTGTAAAATACTACTTTTTAATGATATAAAATGATTTTTCTTTTTTGTAATTAAGAAATGCAAGTAATAAATTAACAACTTTCTCATCTAAGTCACTAACATTATCTACTTTTTCAACAATTAAACTTGTAAAGAAATTTAAATAACTTTCTAGAATCATTTTGAAAATGCTTGATCTCGTCCTTGAGTTTGCCTTGTTTTATTAAAAAATTAATATAATTTTAGAAACACTTTACATGGTTTAATATTTTTTTAATAAATCTTAAACAAGTACCAAGTTTTTTATTATAAAAAAGTTTATGTTGTCTTAATAATAAGGTGCCAGTTTCAGAATCATGTTTTTGACTTATTTTGAAAGTAATTTTGATTAGTGATTTTTAACTTTAAATTCTTAAAAATTGGTAAAAATTTAAAGCTTAGAGTGACCATCTGTACTGTTAATTTCAAAGTATTTTTATAATAGTATTTAATGTTAAAATACTTAAATAAAACTAAAAATTACTTAAGGGGGGAAACCACATTAGACGTCTGAAAAAATCAATTTTTTCTTTTTTGCATAAATTGTTCGTTAAGGTATTCAAAAATAGGCTAACAAAGTTTTTAGAGCAAAATTCGAAGTCCTCGCTGTACTAGCGATGAACGGAGCGCGCTCTAGGTTACCGTAGATTAGTAGAATAAGCGTAGCACTTTTGAGACTAAGGAGAGCAGAAAGCCACGAAAAGAGGAATTATTAGACTCACATGCTACTTATGAAGCACATGAAAGGATATATGAGGCATTTTACGTGAAATGTCCTAAGTTGAAATTTCAACTTCTTGAAAAAAATTGAAACTCAAGGAATTTGTTGTTCTATCAAGTAGAAATGTGACCCACAAAATATTTTTGATTTTTTCGAAAAATTGGAGGGGGTAGAGGAGGATCAATTTGACCAATTTTGCCAACACCGGCTACTTTGTGAATTTTTTCTAAACATACTTGTAATGGGAAAAATTTTTTAGAATATGTTTCTGAATAAACTTAATTTTTTGCTTTCAAACAAAATTTGTGGGCTCAGGACTGCACGCAGTCATGAACTCCGGCGGAGCAGCTCTATATGCAATAGCTCCCAATTTGGAAGATTTTTTATATAAACGCTTATAAAAAATATGAGTTACAGTTAAATACAAATGAACAACATAGTGGAAATGTTTTATTTCATTCAAAAAAATTCTTACTTTAAAAAAAATTCGCGAAAAACGGCAAAAAAACAGCGTTCTAATGTTGTTTTCCCCCTTAACTGACTAATATTCAATTTTTTTTATTTTATAAAAATTTTGTATTTTCTTATAAATTTAAATTTAAAAATAAATTAATATAAATAATATAATTTTTTAATTTTTAAACTTTTTTATAAAAATGTTTTTTGTTTAAAAAAATTAGGTAGGATAGTGTTGTATTATTATGATTACT